TATTAAAGTAAAAACTTATAAGAAAAAGTACTTTAAAAAAAAGAGACCAGAATACATTTCATAACAAAGCCAGTGGTAGAGACTGAATAATTAAGTCAAGGAAAAAATAACAAGTAGTAAGCAAAGGTGAGAAGAAAAAGTTTCCAACATAGCCTAAATTATGGGTCTGACAAAGAGTAGGACCTGTTTGAGATAAGAGGGCTTTAAGGCCAGTAGAGATACAGGTAAGCTGGGAAGCGTCAAGAATTAAAGTTCATATCCAGTGGTTTTCATGTTCATAGTGTTTCCAACAGTCATTAATTCATTATAAGATGCAGCTTGAAAATCAAACTGGGCAGAACACAGAACAAAGTTATTCCTTAAACATAACAAATAAAGAGGCTCTACTGCAACAAAATGTTTTAGAAGAAAAACAAAACATTGCAGGAAGAGGGACAAAATTTTCTTAAATTTTTAAAAATTAGGCTCAGAATGCTGGAGAATATATCTGAGTTCCATTATTTACTAGCTAGATGAGCTTGGTAAATTACTTAATCTCTGTGCTTCAATTTAGTCACCTATAAAATGAGATACTACTTAGAAGGATTAACTCAGAGAATCTATTAAAAGGGCTCAGGAAAAAAAATTAGCTCACAGTGGCTGCAACAATGGGCTCAAAGACAGCAGCAAATGTGAGGATGGAGAAGGAACAGGCAGCATTTCACTCCGTCAAACAGAGTCACTGAGTCAGAACTGACTCAACAGCACCTACAACATTATTATGAAAAATAATAGTTATTGTTAATGGAGTTCTTAGAAAAGGATATTCAAGACTCAGTTTGTAAATACACTAAACTCTTAAACTATATACCTTTCCTACTTGTTGCTGTTGTTGTTAAGTGCCCTCGAGTTGTCTCTGCGACCCTATGTACACCACAAGGAAACACTGCCCAGTCCTGTGCCAGCCTCATGATATTTGCTATACCTGAGCCCATAGTTCTACTCTGATGAGGCAGCTCTTTCACAGTC